CATAATAAAGTGTGTATAAATCTTAAAAAAGCAACAGAAGCTTAGTAAAGGTTTAACAGTGACATTAAAGGTTCATTAAATTCAATAAAGGATTATAATATTATAATAATATTCCTTTAGTTTCTCAGTGAGACGTTAACGAGGACAAAAGAATGAAATGAAATATATTGTATAACAATAATGAATGTTGGTGGAGGTGAGGATGCGTTCAGGTACAACCAGAGCAGATTCATTGTTGTTGTTCAGCGTTACAGAGAGGCTGACCCTCAGTATGACGACAGCCTCGCTCTCTCACCGTCCTCCTGTTGTGACTTGTCTCTGCAGTCGATGCAAATGTACTGCAGTTTGAACCCTGAGAGCTCAGACGTCAGCAGCTCTTCTCTCTCACATTCCTCGGCTCATTTGCATGCTGTTTGCATCTTATTTGCATAAAGAAAGACATTTCTTATTCCTCTCATTCTGTCCATGTCTCCACCCTCCACCCACGCCCCCGTCCTTTACCTGCCGGCAGGATGAAAGACACCTGAACCCAAACAGGAGAAACCCAGAGTCCGGGACAGTAGAGCCATGTGTCATCACAAAGGAATATAATAGTTTTAATTATTAGCTGTTCACATTTTGAAGAGAGAGTCAGTGTCACCCTCTCATGGTGTGTGCCTCAATACTCTCCTCGTGCTACTTCACTGGCAGGATTATTAGTATCTACTCTTTAATCTGTCTCACTGCGGCAGTTTGAGCCCAAAATAATCCGATATTTCTGTGATTTAATGTCAATAAACGGATCAATATGATGCTGAAGTAACAACATCATGATGGCCATTAATAAAACGCTGAATTCAGACGTTGCTCGTCGTCTTGCCGACAGACCCGTTTGAGTGATTTGATTGGTTGGTTCGTATCCTGCACATATTTATGATAATGTTAGCAGTTAGCAGTTTTAGCTGTTTGTGGTCCCTGCAGCAGGTGTCCTGTAGCAACAGCTGCAGTGTTTAATCTGCAGATCTGACTGTGTGTTTGTTCTTTTTATGTTTTTGTATAACTGTAGTAACGGGTCAGGTGACTGACACATTCACATTGGCAGGAATAGGCTTCCGTAGGTCTGCAGTCAGAGGACAGGAAGTCTCACAGGTTCAGCTGCTGTTTCCTAATAAAATGAGAGTGAGAAAACCCTTAAAACCTAGAACAGCATTGATTCAGAGACGTCTCTCATGAGTCAGGTCGGTGCTGAGGAGTTACTGAGATGAGTTCGGGGCGGCGCAGAGAGACGGTGAGTCAGCGGAGGGAAAACCCAGAACTCAGAGACACAACAGAGACCCAGACAGGAAGTCTCAGTCTGCAGATAAACAACAGAACATCTGGACGGGACAAACACGGTCTGATCCAGCAGACCTTCAGACTCTTACAGAATGTTCAGACTCAGTCAATAATCACCTTATTGATTTCAGATCAAACTAACCGTACTTCCTGTCTACTCATTAATCCAGATGTTACAATAATTCCAATCAATCAATAACTTTCCACCTGAAAACCAGCAGGTTCATTTTTATTTATTTTTGATATCTTGACTTCACAGATTGATGATTATTCACAGATTGATGATTATTCACAGATTGATGATTCCAATAAAAGCTGCAGTGAGTCACGTTGGACAGAAATAGATTCTATCACTTTCTCACACTGACACTGACTCACTGTCGTACATTTACTCTCTCGCTCTCAGACGGATGAGCGTCCCGGGATCGAACGCAAACGAGGCGCTCTCATTAAACCCTCAGTGGCGTTTTAGTCATTCTGTGGTTAAAAACTCTTTAACAGTCATCACAAACTCCACAGTCGGCTCCAGGAGGATTCTGGGAAATGTCTTTGCTCAGGACAGTTGATAACGCACAAGTGACATCTGCTTTCTTTTAACATCACAAACAGGTTCCTGAGTCACTGCTGCTGCACCCACAACAACCCTCTCCCTGTTCACTGAAGGTCCCAATAATCAGTCCCAATAATCAGTCCCAATAATCAGTTCCAATAATCAGTCCCAATAATCAGTTCCAATAATCAGTCCCAATAATCAGTTCCAATAATCAGTCCCAATAATCAGTTCCAATAATCAGTCCCAATAATTGATTCCTGTTCAGTTTCATAGAGGAAAAATGCCATCAAAGGGAAATCAGCCAAAAACTAAAAATAAGCCTGCAGGCAGAAGGAAGTTAGGCATGAGTATCAGGACAATCTGCCCCGATGCAGGTCCTGAGGGTTCTATAAGGGTTCTATAAGGGTTCTATAAGGGTTCTTTAAGGGTTCTATAAGGGTTCTATAAGGGTTCTTTAAGGGTTCTATAAGGGTTCTTTAAGGGTTCTATAAGGGTTCTTTAAGGGTTCTGTAAGGGTTCTATAAGGGTTATTTAAGGGTTTATAAGGGTTCTTTAAGGGTTCTATAAGGGTTCTATAAGGGTTCTTTAAGGGTTCTATAAGGGTTCTATAAGGGTTCTTTAAGGGTTCTATAA